TGTACGTCTACCTGTCCGTCTTCGACGCTTCTTCCCCAATTCCTGAAGGGTTCTACACTACCAGCCAGTCCCTTCTGGAATTCATCCCGTGTCCCCTCGTCTCCCAAACGCTCTACTTTCCACCGGAACACTTTCCTCTGTTTCTTACTCTCCATCTTTCTAGATCGGTCGATGTTTGCACATATGACAAAGTGTTCGGTCGAACCTGTATCTATCGCACTATCGCACTTACGTGCAGCTCTGGGATCTGTGTGCTCCGCCTATCTACCAGGATGTAGTCGAAGATCGAGCATTCATTGCAAACTGCCCTTTGCCTGGTGAACTCCGGCTTATCGCATTCGCTCCTACCGTCCAACACCATCAGTTCGTTGCTTCCCAAGAGGTCAAGCATCCTCACTCCGTTGTTATTCACTTCGTCTTCTCCGTGCTGCCCGATCGCCTGTCCTCTACTGGAAGCTTTCCCTTGTCTGGAGTTGAAATCGCCCACCATGACAACTTCTCTCTTCCTAGTGAACCTCTGAACATCTTCTCCAATTTGTCCAAAGTTCTCCTGCGCCTTGCTTGCGACTTTCTTCGACGACGGTGGGACGTATACGTTCCCTAGAAACAAATCTTTCTCACCCCGCTCCCCAGGTATCTTAAGCCATAGGCTTTCCTCGAATTCCGTTTTCACCACTACTTCCACCACGTCAGACACATGTTCCTTGACCAGGAATCCGACTCCCCCCTTCCCCCTTTTCTTCGGGTCTAAGCCCTTTCTTGCCTTCCCTACCCACCGGTATTTCCCTAGTTTGCTTACCACGTCCCCATCCTTCAATTCCCACGTCTCTTGGATCCCCACTACATCTAGATCGCTTTGTTCTACTTGGTCCACTATTTCCAACCGCTTGCGCTCACTCCTTGCGAACCCGCACACGTTCCACGACCCGACTCTCAGCTTGTGCTTTTCCCTCTTAGAGATTTTGCGCAATCTATCGTTCGCCTTCCGCTTCTTCTCGGCGTTCTTCTGACTTGTCTGCTCGCCTCCCCCGCTCGGTCCCTTCTTCGCCTCCATCGCCCTCGCCTCTAGTCTTCTTACCTTCTCTGTTTCCATCATGTTTGCGATGCAAACCCTCCATCCAAAGTTCCTTACGTAGTTCGACAGCTTCGCGATGTCAACCCCCAAGCACGCTCGGCTGTCTCCCTTGGTCAGTTTCACCCGGAAATGTTCATGCTCTCTACACCGGGGGGGGGGGGGTACTCATAGTCGTGCATGCCGTAGTCGTTAGANTTTCCCCTAACGTCCCCATCCTTCAATTCCCACTTCTCTTGGATCCCCACTACATCTAGATC